ATCATGATATTGACATAGGTTATGCAGTAATTGAACTTCCTGATTTCTGAGAATATCAAAAATTAGTTGTGCACTTGTATGCATAATCCGCTTCGCAGAATTATACAAATTTTAAACAGCTCTTTTTTTTGTGTATATACCGTATAAGTCAAACACAAAAAAAAGTTGTTTCTTATAATTGAATGTAGGTTGTGGAGGAAGGGGGATATAACCTAAAATAGTATATAATTGATAGTCTTTCTTTGAGGAAATAGAAAAAAATCAAATTATTAAGCATTTACTAGCATAAAATCGGTTAGTAACTGCCATTTATAACAATGCAAATAAAAATAATGTGACAATATGCTTCATTAGATATATCGTGCCGGAATGTTGTTTTTCTCGTTATACTTTACTTTTTTACTCTGTCCAATGCTTTCTCGATCAGATCAGCTATGTCAGCAGAAGATTCACCACTTGAAAAACAAATCAGACACTATTCAATGAGTAAACAATGAGAGCTTTGAGTCCTGTCTCTACTTGATCAGATTACATTTAATTCCGTTCATCCAATTATCTGTCGCAGTAGGGGACGTTCCAAAAGTCTTGTTAATATAGTTAATTAACTCGTTTTTTCTAATTAAAAGTTTGTTTGTTTAATCCAAATGTATACATCATAAGGATATAGTTTTGGTAACGTATAAGGGTCATTCCATTGTCGAAAATACAGTTTCGTTTAGTGGTCGTATTTTGATATCAAACGTTTTACAAAATTAAAAGTTTAAAATCCGAGCGTATACAAATATGGACAACACCATATAGAGTAAACGTCTTCGTTTTGTATGTTTTAAATCTAAAATAGCGTTAATTTTGTCAATATTGAAAAAATGAAATATACTTTTCTTCGATTTGGGCATCTTTCTTTATAAGCTTAATTATATCAAATGTCCAAATCGGTATTTGACATCTCCACCCGGTTTATAGTTTTAAGCTGCAAGACATTCTGAAAAAAGAATACAAAAGGACAAATTCCCCTCTTCCTAATATGTATATTTAATAACGCCAATTTGGTTCAATTCGGGCAGTGATCAAAACAAGTCAATGTTCATTGGATGTGCATGTCTTAAATAGATATATAAGCAGAGAAAAAATTGTCAACTTTTCAAGACAATCCTCTCTTTAACCAGGGCAGAATCACGGAACAATAACCTGCCACAAAAACACAATGAAAACCGTTCAAAATGTCATATCACGAAATAAAACATAGAGAAAAAACAGTTAACATACAACAGTTACATATCAGAAAATATGAAACGGAGAAAAACAGTTAAAATACAATATCTACAAGTCATGAAATAGAACACGGAGAAAAACGTTTAACATTACATAATAACCTATAAAGAAACTACAAAATAGAGAAAATCAATAACAAGAATCAATTTGATTTCAGCAAATTTTATTGTTCAGAAAGCAAATGGATTTGACAACAGGCAAGCCTAGATAAGTCCTCTCCAATAGTTACCACATACACACAAGTCAGAGTGAAAAGGCTAAATAGAACATTTCATATAGACAATATAAAGGACAATAGATTCTAGAATGGTGGTATTTAGACACACATTTAGATTAATTACTTCGGGTAACGTATAATAACCAAATATATAAACATCTACTCCAGCTTATACAGACTTGCATGCCTACACATCACAATCAATTACAAAAATAAAACAATTACAAATCACAAAGTAGAACACAGAGAAAAACAGTAAACATGAAACAATTATATAAAAAAAATCACAAAACAGAAGAAAAAAACTGTTAACAGGAAACAATTACACAACACATCACAGAACACAGAATGAAAAAAAAATGACAGCAAACAATTACAAGTCACGAAATAGAACACTAGAGCAAAACAGTTAACATGAAACAGTTACATAACACAACACAAAACACAGAGTGAAAAAAAAAAATACAAGTCACGAAATTAAACAGAGAAAATCAGTTAACTTGAAACAATTACATATCACAAAGCAGAACACAGAGTGAAACAAATAAACATAAAACACGAATTACGAAGAAAAAACAGTCAAAATGAAACAATTACATATTACAAAATATAACACAGTTAAAAACAGTCAAAATGAAACAATTATAAATAATGAAATACAAAACAGAAAAAAAAAACAGTTAAAAAAATGAAACAATCACATATTATAAAATAAGATAAAGAGAAAAAAAACAATAAACACGTTTTGGAGGTTTTTGTTTTTTGAAAGATAAATGTCAATGTAATTTTGTCATAAATTTATTTAGGAGATGATACATTTCAAAACGTCAGACAACAAGATACTGAGCAAACTCTAGTTTGTTTGATAAACTGTCTAGTCAGGTTTGAGGGCAAATGTAGCTCCTGAACTAGACGTCATTGGACGCGGTCACGTGAAACACAGATATAATTGAAACATTTAATGTAAAGCACACGTGTGACACGTATGACGGGATATATTATGTGTATCGTTGCTATTGTGTAGAGATGGAAGAAATGTGATGACATGAGCACATTTCTTACATTCATTGGCAGTAACGCATAGAGTGTGGAACGAACTAGATAAAATGAACACTCCTTACAATGCGCGGCAGATACCTCGATGGAAATGTACTGTTGTTGTTTGNGTTTTATAAAAGGCACAGCAAGATATGTTGCATTTCGAACACATCGAAAAAACAAACATAATATTAGATGACAGCGAACATGTATGTTTACACCCTCATAGGTCGGATCGTAATCGCATGGAGGGCGGTGATTTGTGATATTGAGCCGGTAAATATAACCTTTTCAGGTTAATATAGCCGTATATGCACCTCACTAATAGTCCTTAATTGATAAAATATGTCATTGGTGGTGAGGTATTTCAAGTTTGGTTTGGCCTTCATCTTACTTTGTCGTACTCTTTGGTGGAAAAAAAGTTCGAGACATATTCCCTTAAATAGACCGTTATATGAAGAGTTAAATAGCAAACAGCTCTTCATTTTTCATGATAAAGTTATTTAGAACTAAAACAGATTTACGCTTAAATAACTCAAATCCGTCAGTGTATATATTTATACATCATACAACAGAAACAAGTACCGCAGGAGCAAGTATTCCAAGGATTTCTGTCAAAAGAAGAAACAATAATATTCCTAAGTTCGTCAACACTTTTTAAGAAGATAAAAGGTAAAATTGTGTGTATCAAGTTGTATATAGGCTTCGGAACATATAGGAACCATGCTTTCGACAAAAGTACAACCACAAATCCCTTCGTGACTGGCTATTTAGCGCTCCATTAATCACACACTATAGCCTATAACCAACTGACCACTCAACTAAATAGCCAGTCACGAAAGGATTTGTGATTGTACTTTTGTCGATAGCATGATTCATATATGTTCATTAAAATCCCGAATTAAAATCTATTTTTGTCTTGACTCCAAAATAGTTTAAAGTTTTTACGTTGTAGATTTTAATCCGTGTAAATATAATAAGATATAAATAACGTAAGCCATGTAATAATATACAACATTTATATAGCGCCCTATATAATTTGTAAAATTACTCTAAAGCGCTTTATTATTTTTCTCTTTATATCCTCCAAAATGAAGATTACATAAACAGAATAGTTACATATAAGAATTAATCAACATATATACACACATAGACATTGAAAGAGTACAAAGGTATCGTTATTTTAATGAGTACATGAATATGTTATAGGAGAAGGAAGATGTACATTGCAAAGGGCATCATTGCTTAAATATACAATCAGACGATTTGGAGTGATTTTTTAACAATTGTTACACGTGTGATATAACCCCTAATCTTAATTGTTTATAATCTTTAGATGACATCTTATAATTTAATTCACTACCCAATCGGGTATTAGTCAAATCAAAATCAGGTAAATTATGTTATCAAATACACATTGAGTTGTATATCAAATATATCGGTGGTCGGGTGGTGCAGTGGATAGCGCACTTGCCTTTCACCGAGGCGGCCGGGGTTCGATTCCCCGATCGGACGTGAAAAGGTTGGGGTCACCTACCCGATCACGTGGGTTTTCACCGGGTACTCCGGTTTCCTCCCTCACTAAGACTCCCCACGCGCTAACATCCGGGCCAACAAGAGTGATTAATATAAGTTGAAATAACTTGTTTCATAATTGTTGTTAAATAAATAAAGTCAAATTTAGTGTTTCAACTTCGGTGGCCAGCCGTCCGCCATAAAACAGCCCTCGATGTAGTTTTGTTATGCTAATATGAATTAACATTATTGACTTGTTTTTCAAACTAAAGTAAGATATTTAAAGTATATGATAATAATATACGACTTGTATAAATTCTACAAATTAAAGTTTGACAATGGAACTATATCTTGTTTGTTTGGTTGTCATGCTTGTTAGGACCCCTAGCGAACATTTTACATTTTCCGCGAAAACACATTGTTATCTCTACTACTTTGCCCCAATGTATAAATAGAAAAAATATACCGGTTGTATATAATGTACGTTTTTTAATATGCTTGACCATATGGGAGACGAGTCTAATAAAGACTATTATTAGTATTATTATTATTATAAAATTATTTTTTGCATATTCATGAGGTCATAACAACATTGATTGTATTACTTAAATGATCCTGTGACCTTTTCGCTGCCATTCAAACGTATACCGGTATATATATATATATATGTAATTGTTCGAGGAATTTATTTCAGTTTCTAAAACACCATTATCGCCTGCGTCTTAAATACCATGTCCTTTGAGTGTGTGGACGGTAGCTCGATTGATATAAAAGGGCTCAAATAAGTAATCCTAATCTGAATATAGTGGAAGAACGACAGGTTTCAACAGGCGTGATTCGAAAGTCTTAAACTGTATATCGAAGAGACACGAAGAAACTCTCGTCTCGTCGGCTAACATAACTGTACCTGTATTTCCAGATTGTCAAATAACTAATGTGTTTATTCATCTCGCTTTAGGAATGGATTTATTCAGATAAAACGGATCATCACATGGAATGGAATATATGCAATGAATAAGGTATGTATAATATAATATTTATGTATACATGTTAAAAAATAATATAAAAATCCTTTTTAAGACTTTGCCGAATTGTCAAAAAATGATTTAAAAAATTACCATATCATTTCATCAATAATGAAAAAAAAACACTTTTATTTTAAAATCGATATATACTGCATTTAATATAATTATCGTGATTCAGACCTTAAGGTCCCACATACCACTTCCAAAAACTGTAACGAAGTGTTGGACACTGTTTTTCCCCTTTTACAGCTTTAATAAATAATTTATGAAATGAAAACCATACCTTGCAGGACTTTTATGAGAGAGGATAACGATGAGGTAATGAATGAAATAATACCCAATATAATCAACGACAGTGTTCCGAGTGTAAAAAGAAACGAGTGGGGCTAAAACGGGTTCGAACCCTGAACTTCAGATGTGTATAGGAAAAATCCTACAGTGTCCTCGGAAAAACTACAATATGTTCGTTTCATTGTTTAGATGAGTAGTTTTACGTCCGGTTCACTGCCGAGTTGTTCGGTTATCCAGCAGACAATAAACTACAGTGCAGGGGGACAGGGATCCTTAAAAATATTAAACATGTGATTTTCTGTTGTAGAGTTATCGCCCTTACTTTTAACGGCTTTATCTTATAATTCCGATTACTTTTTCTATCACCGTTTGTATTGTTGTGTATCTTTCAAATGTGTCATAGATTGTTACAAAAAGGTATATATCGTATATCTTTATTTATTATTTAGTTGTTCATAACTACTTAAACTACTTCTACTTAAAAGTTACATTACAACATATATTCACTAAAATAAAAGTCCTTCACTGTTATATAAGATATGATATTGTGACGTCATCCAAAGTGAATGACGATATTCATACCCAACATGTGTTTTTGTTTACACTACTGTCGGTGGAGTTGTGACTGAAATAATAGGATGGGAGAAAAAAAATCATCCCCTACCTTGAGGGTGAGACAGAGAAATCTCAAACCCTCGGGTGATATTTTTGGTTGTCTAACCCTCGGCAGAGCCTCGGGTTAGACAAACAAAAAACATCACCCCTTGGGTTGGACATTTCCCTATCACACCCTCAAGGTAGGGGAAGATTCTATTAGTCTTTATCAGTAAAAAGAAATGGGGCATAAGTAAACAAGGTATTGCTTTTGACATGGGGCTTTGTGACGTCACAATTAAAGTGATGTAATAATGACTAAGTAATAGAGATGTATAGGCATTCGGAGGCCAGTTTGGCATCCTCGATATCAAGGTGTCGCGCTCACGTACGCTCTCTGTACCCCTCGAATATGTGATAGCCAAATTGAAGGCACGAAGATACCTGTTTGATTGGTCTCAGGTAAAAAGAACTGACCAATCACTAGGCTGATACCTGTCTTTTGAATATTACAAAGGAGAGACGCCCGACTTTAAAGCCAGTATTTGTTTACCGTTACGCGACCGCGAGATTCTTTTGATGTACATCAAAGAGTCGAACTACTCTTCCTGTCTCATCCACAAGGTGGCGCACACTGATCCTTCGATTTTGCTATGACATATTCCAGGGGTGCAGAGAGCGTAAGTGAGCGTAACCCCTGGAGTATCGAGGATGACAATTTGGAGGCGCGCAGTCTTTAAAAGGCTACCTTAAGTTTCCTCATTTTCTGTTGCTCTAAGAATGGTTAAAGTGAACCACTGGTTATGGAAAATTTAAAAATATGAATAAAATAAAAACAAGAAGATATTATTTCACAGCTAAAGAATGGTTGAGATGAATAAGATTGGCGTGTTTGAATATCTTTGCCTCGAACGCCTTTGTTTCTTATTGTCATTAATTTTAATTGTTCACCAACCACTGGTAAAGGTTCTTTGAGTATCTGGGGGCTTGTTTCAGAAATAGAAACACCAACTCAATATCGCGCGTCATCGTCATCCACGCGATTACAGTCAGTAATTCTAGGAAGTATTCTCTTTTCTCAGAAAAAAAACCACCCTAACATTTGTAAAATATGTTTGTCGTTCGATCCTTGTATTCATCTCACTGACAAAGGACTGCTCTATCGACTTCGATTGCAATTGTTGTTCTTGGTTTAAACATTATTCTATTGTCAATATATTGCAGTAATACAAATACATTTTGTAGTATGCATAATACAAGGATTCAACAACGAGTGCAGTGTGCCGCAGTAGCCGTGACCGCTAACGTGCACAATCATTACAACTGTGTGCAATAAAGCGTGAGCTTTAGACCTTCCATTCTTCCAAGAATTTCGGTTCGATCCCTTGTTGTGGCGGAAAAAGAGCACTAGTGATGTATGATAGGGTAATTAGTTGTTCCCCTGTAATTTTTCCCCCACCATGACAACAGCACTTGTTACCTTAGCGGCGTCGTAACAAAACTCTACAGAGCTTATGTTTGTAATGTGCACGACGTTACATAAAGGTTCCTTGACTTAATCTCGTCTACGAGCAGGAGCACATTGACAAATATTGCCGCTTTCATTTTTAAAGCGAATGAGATACGGAACCATAATTTATTTAATCGGGAGTAACGTCCGCCCTGATGTCGTGAAACCTGCATTTAAGTATGGAAAGTCACCTGTTTTACTTTATTATATATTTATCTAAATTTAATGCATTGTACCACTGCATATATCCTTGTGTACGCAATGCATTTATGGCACAAAGGCATTTGTGTCTATTGCTGAATAAAGATTACATAACGATAATTTATTTATTTATAGAGTACATTAAGCATCGATTGGACGGCATAGACTGTTGGCGCATTAATACTTAAAGGATATAAAGGGGATGGTACAAGAAGCTTAGACAGCTCTTTTGTGAAGGGAAGATTTACTGGAATATAATATGATAACGCCGTGGCTATACACATTGAATGCGTTGGATACAACGGGGTGTTCTCAGTTCGCCCGCTTTGTAGAAAACAAAGAAAAGTGTTGATATAGGAAGACAATGGCAAACCAGTTATAGTCTGTTTCATAATTACCCCACAGGTAACTTACCTGTGTGAAACTTACCGTCTGACTTGTAGCTTTTCTGTGTTTGTGATATGTAAGGTATTTTTTGGATATATATTTCAGAAGTTTAAATACATTTTGAGGGGTATGAAATTGATGAAATAAGATAATAAATAAACACCTAATTGTCTATTTATAAAATTTTAGGTAAATATTCAAAATTCATTTATGCTTATACACAAGATACGTCATACATGATGTACAATACAGATATAACAAATAATAACTAAATAGTAAGAGTTTACAGTCAAATATATCAATACTGATACTTAACATTTCATTTACATTACACGTTTTAAGCCATCAGATACAAGATAAGCGGAAAACTGTCCATATTTCCCCAAGTCGGCATTTATGAATACGGGAACAAATAATGAGTAAATAATTTCTAGTATTAATAGTGCATGGAAAAGGTATCAAACCAATTGAATATGAATTTTTGAACTGCTGAGATATTAGGTATTTGTTAATACAATACTGTAATTAAAGCCATATTCACTATCTCTATGAATGTCATGGGGTTTCCAAGACTTAAAAAAAATACTTTCATCACTTTCCCATCCGAGGACCAACTGTTGAATACATTTTTTGATTCCTTGATGTAATATGCAAAACTAAATTGTATGACGGTAAAGTGCTCAAAATAAGGAAAAGCATGGTTGTTCAAGTTTCTCAAAACTGTTTCTTGGGTTAAAACAGACTGTAATACTGTAGTGTAGCCTAGTGTGTAACGCAGTTTGCTGAAATGAACGGTGCAAGTTCGAATCCACGTTCAGATTTTCCACAAATGCTGTAAGAAAGGGGAGATAATCAATCAGTGAGTAACGATGAAGTCAATACAGTGGAAAGGATAAACTTAGTTGACACATTTAAAATAAGGGGAAAAAAAATGAAAGTAACAAATGGTAATTTCATGATTGAAAAACACAAAAATATTTCCTTATCATGTGAGAGGATAAGCATTTCCCGGAAAATTTTATAATCTTAAGGAGCTGTTCCTTTATACAAAATTGCACATTCAAATATACCATTCATTGAAAGACCAGGAATTCCTTAGGGATTGATAGTGGCGGATCCAGAGACCTATCTTGGTGGTGGTGGTGGTGGTGGTGGTGGT